GGCCAGAAGCGGTGGAGGCGAGTGGGCGCCTCCTGCGGGGGGCGCGCTGGGCCGCGCCTCCGCCCTCCGCCCGCGAGGGCCTCCCTCGAGCCGCAGCGGCTGCGGGTCGGGAGGGGGGCACCGGACGCCACCGGCCGAACACGCTGGGCATTGGGCGACACCGCCGTCGTCGTCGTCGTGTTCGTCGTCGGCGTCGCCGTCGTTGGCCTGGGCGTCGTCGGCGTCGTCGGCGTCGTCGGCGTCGTCGGCGTCGTCGGCGTCCTCGTGTCGTCGTCGGCGTCGTCGTCGTCGCCGTCGTCGGCGGCGGCAGCGGCGGCGGCGGCGTCGTGGTCGGCGGCGTCGTCGTCCGCGAGCGGCGCACCACCGCCGCAAGCAGCGCGCGGGCCTCGTGGGGCCCCGCGGCGGCGGCGGCGCGACGGGGCGCGCCGAAGCCAGAGGCCAGCGGCGGAGGCGCAGGGGGGCGATAAATCGGACTACACGCATACACGTCGGTCGGAAGAAATAGGTAGAAACAAGAAGTAGGAAGGCGGGCTAAGTTGGTTGGGTCCAGGCCCCCCCAGGGAATCACAAGACGCAGCAGAAGCGCGTCGATTCTTGAGGTAGGAAGGCGCTTGAAGTAGAGTGGGATCTGGGAATCCAAAAATACCTACTTTCAACGACCGGCGTGTAGGCGCGCAAAGGCGCTGCTGCCGCACTGCGTTCGGCGATCGGGGGACCTCAATAGGCCCACACCAAAGGTCACTCCGGCGAAGGGTCACTCTTACGTGTACTCGATACATGGATTAGGGAGAAAGTGCACTTCTCGGGCCCTGAAAACATCCTTTTGGGCCCTAAAGGGCCCCTTCAGGACCCTAATGGCCCCTTTTCTGCAGCCCCCGCTGTCCCCCCCTTTATCGCCGCCCCCCACTACGCGATGCCCAAGGGCACTCCGAGCGAGACTCTCCGGCGGCTCGCCGCCTCTTGGCCGCAGAGCCACGACGCACTGCCAAGTGCAGCGCTGGTGGTCCAGGAGATGCTGCACACAACCTGCCCGCCCCCAGTCGGGGAGACGTAAGACTCGGGTACGGGGGACTCGGGTTGGCCTGACGGGGCCACCATAAAAATGACGAGACCCAATCTGAAATTTGACGCGAGCTCCCGCTGCAGACAATCCCACGAAAACTGGACCGTCAAAATCCAGGACGCGCTCGTCAAAAAATATCGGCGAACCCGAGTTCCGGCTTACTCGAGTCTTACGCTTCCCCACCCCCAGGAGCATCTGCCACGCTTCTCAGAAGGAGCCACGCTGCCACATCTGCATCGCACTAGGGGGTGGAGGGAGGGGGGAGGGCTTCTTAGAAGGAGGCTGCTTCTTAGAAGGCGCCGGCCTTACATCTACACATAAGGCCCGCGCCTTCTAAGAAGCAGGGGTGTACTTCTGAGAAGCCCTCCCCCCTCCCCCCACCCCCCTCTGCGCGTGGCGGAACGCTTCCCCCCCCCTTCGCGCGTGAGCTCGCTGGCGTCTGACGACTGCGCACCTCGTCGCCCTCCTGGCCGCCGGGGGCGAGCTCCGCACCCGTGGCGCGTCGGGACCGGCCCGGCGCACGCGCCGACCGAGCGAGGGACAGGCGCCTGCCACTGGGCTTAAGTCGGGCCTGTCCCCCCACAGGGGGGATTGTCGACGAAAAATAAGAAAAAATACAAACAAACAAAAAAAAAAAAAAACTTTTCAAAATAGTCCAAAAATAGTCTGGGGACTATTTGTTGAGTATTGTTTGACCTTCTTGGGGTATTTTTGGGGGTATCTTTTATTTGTCGTCGAAATCCCCCTGTAGGGGGACACGCCCGACATAACACTGGGCAGGCAGTGCGAAGCTCGGAGGGTACTGATGGGATGGTGGACGCCACCTCCACCTCCCCCTCCAGCCCCAACACGAAGGGGCCCTGGGACACACAAATAAATACGCACAAATAAAAAGATTCCCCATATTTTCCCATATTTTCTGGGTTTCTGTCTTCCCCCTCCTTCCAATATTTTCCCATATTTTCCTGGGAGTGGACGATTAATTGTGTCTGTGTGTTTCTTTCCCTCCTGACAACAGCACAACCTCGCGAGGGACGACGTGGCTCTCCCTCCCAGCCCCCCGCTCGCCCTCGCCGCCGGGCACGTCGAGGCAAAGGAGAGGCCGCCGACCGCGAGGCGCTCCCAGTCGCCGACGCCGTCCTGCGATCGCGCGCGCCCGCGGGGGGAGGGCGGAAAGGGGGAGGCGAGCCGAGGCCACCGGGCCGCGGGAAGGCACTGGGAAGCGGGCAGCACACGCGGCGGAGTGCGCACACCCGAAGGCCAACCGCCGGATGCACGTGCTCGCTCGTGCCGCGGGCTGTCGCAGCCCGCGGGCGTGCATGCCTGCAGGGAAAGGATGCCAACATGCACGGCGCACCCTCCGGCAACCACGAGAGGAGGCGTCACTTGCTGCATCTCAGAGTCGGGAACTGTCCCCAGCGGGGCGGGTTGCATCGGACAGGACACTTCGGACCCTTTCCTCCCTGGGCGTCTCCAGCTCGGCGGACGTACCTGTCGGCCCGGTGCACGTGCGGAGGCCAGGCGTGCCTGGCCACACGAGGGCCGAGCGCTGGAACGACATCCGGCCACGTTGCTTCGCGTGTTGCGGCGGCGGCCCCAGCGACACACTGTGCCCTGCGGGCTGATAGCGTGTCGTTCCGTCCCGCGTGGAGGGAGGCTGGGAAAAAGCTCGGGACGTTGACGCCCTGGGGACCGGGGCGTGGACAGCGTGCCGCATCGAAGCGTGGTGGGCCAGGACCGGCGGAGGGACACGCTGCCCTGAGATCCGCTGGTGCAGAAAAAGCAAACAACATCGCAAAAAAAAACACAACTGGAGCCTTGGACTTTCTGCGCGTCATTTTTCGAGCTGGATCGATCTGTGAGGGCCCTCGTGCCCGAAGCATGGCGAAAACTCCCGTTGTGAAAAAAGGCATCGCCAGGATCTGCGAGTATAGCCAAAAGTTCGTGGCCGCATCCAGCTCTGGCCCAGGCTGGCCACGTCACGCGCATCCGGCTGCCCCGCAGATTTTTGTCCGTACCATCGTGTGGTGTGAAGTCCTCTTTCTG